TTTTTTTTTTTTTTTTTTTTGGTACCGGGGATCGAACTCAGATCCTTGAGCTTGCGAGGCAGGCCGCGGAACCACTGAGCTAAATCCCCGGCCCTTCTTTCCTCTTTAATGTGGGGTTGCGGATGGAATTCTGGGCCATAGTCTTCAAGCGGGGGCCCATTAGTCCTCCTCAAAGACCAGACAGGCAGACACGATCGGGACACAGGGTCCCATATGGGGTTGCCATCTGGCCGTCTGGCTGCTCGCAGCCCGCAACCGCGGCAGACGGAGCTTCGCGCCGATCCGCCTGTCGCCCTGCAGCTGGTGGCTCAGCGGACGCAGCCCGGGGGTGGGGCGGGGCGACAGCGGGGCGGGGCTTCTGGGCTCGCGCGCACCCGCAGCAGTGGCCCCGCCCCCAGCATCCAGCCCGCGACGCGCAGGGCTGCAGACAGCGTCATGGCTGCTTCGAGACCGCCACGGTTGGAGGAGCTGCTGGCAGAGGCCCGGCGGGCCTTCCGGGAGGAGTTCGGGGCAGACCCCGAGTTGGCAGTGTCAGCGCCGGGTCGCGTCAACCTGATCGGGGAGCACACGGACTACAATCAGGGCCTGGTGTTGCCCATGGCGAGTGAGGGGCCCGCGGTCGCCGTCCGGGCGCGGGGAAGGGCGGGGAGCCGAGTGTGGGGGACGAGCACGCGCGGGAGACCCTGGGACGCGCCGGTTTGCACGTGCGAAGAAGACCCCTCTCGGCTCTAGTCCGCCCTCTGGGGGCTGCTGATCCTCTCCCTCATCCTGAGAGAAGGTTTCCCTACAATGTGGGTCCTGTGTAGCACTCCGGGCCTTTGGCCCCAGAGGAGTCCCCAACCACAGACCTCCTGTCCCAGCCGGTCTGTTACAGAGGAAGAAAGAGACCCAGAGACGGCTAGGGACCTGTTCACGATCTCACAGCTGGTTCTTGTGTTACCTTCCAGCTCTTAATCGGGTGCGCTTTCAGCCCCACCCTGCGTCTTGGGAAGTGAATGGCTACAGTGCATCTGAGGCCACCCCTTAATGGGAAGGCGTGGGGCTACCCCGGTCTTGTTTTCCCATCGAGCTAGCTTGTTTTCCCCCCCACTTCACAACAGGGCAGAGTCCATGTTGGCCCTCAGCCTGCAACTGTCCCCACCCCTAAAGACCCAGGGGGTGGAGCTCCAAGCCCCCAGGGCCCCTTAGCATTCGGACTGGACTTGAGCCACACTGCATTCCCTCCGATTTGAGCCCCTTACCCCCAGGGTCCGTCCATTCCCAGCATCAAAACCTTGGCTGGCGTCTCTGGAGGGCTTAGTCCATCAGCTGGTGTAATACTGTCTCTCCCGACAGGCACTGGAGCTTGTGACCCTGCTGGTGGGCAGTCCCCGAACAGACAGACTTGTCTCTCTTCTCACCACCTCTAAGGATGCTGATGAGCCCCAGAGGCTCCAGTTTCCACTGCCCACAGCTCAGAGGTCACTGGAGCCTGGGATCCCCCGCTGGGCTAACTATGTCAAGGGGGTGATTCAGCACTACCCAGGTATGGGGCCCAGGCCCCAGTCAAGTTCATGATTCCACTAGGAATGACCTCAATTTGTATGATTTGCCATGGGAAGGCTTGCAGGTTGGAGCATCTCATTGTACAGATGAGGAAACTGATGCCCCAAAAGGTTTCCGGAACTTGGCTTGAGTTTCTCTTTACACAAGTGGAGGAGCCAGGATTCAGACCCCAGCTTCCTGGCCTTTAGAGCCTTAAACTGGGTGGACAAGTAGGAAGACTGCCCCAGGATCCTCAGGGGTGGGAGGATGGAGGGTGGGCTCCTTGGCCCCAGCAGGTTGGTGGTGGCCTCTGACAGTTGAGACACGTGGCCTGGAAGCAGCTGCCAGCCAGTTGTCTCCCTTCCCGCCAGGACACACGCCCTGGTCCCATCCCCACAGCTTGGCTTACTGTCACCATTTTTCCCCTGCAGCTTCCCCCCTCCCTGGCTTCAGTGCAGTGGTGGTCAGCTCAGTGCCCCTGGGGAGTGGGCTGTCCAGCTCCGCATCGCTGGAAGTGGCCACATACACCTTTCTCCAGCAGCTCTGCCCAGGTACCACCAAGGCCCAGCCCCTGACCTACCCTCCTTCCCTGAGGTCTCTTTGTGGTCTTTGAGATCTTCCTATCCTGACTCGGGGAGGGGAATGTCATTGGAGCTACTGCTGCTCCCACGTGGCCACCCTGTGTGTCCCCTCCTGGGCCCTAGCTTCCCCACCTCACCCTGTGCTGCAGACTCGGGGGCAGTAGCTGCCCGGGCCCGTGTGTGTCAGCGGGCAGAGCACAGCTTCGCAGGGGTGCCCTGTGGTATCATGGACCAGCTCATCGCTCTGCTGGGGCAGAAAGGCCACGCACTGCTCATTGACTGCAGGTCAGGGGTTCCCCTTGTACTCTCCCACCTCATGATCAGGAGCTCTGGGGTGGAGTGTGCCCACCACCTGGCCTGGCAAGCAGACCCTTGGCCATGTCATCTGCCCAACTTTAAACACCACCCCAGGTCTTTGGAGACAAGCCTGGTGCCACTGTCCGACCCCAAGCTGGCCGTGCTCATCACTAACTCCAATGTTCGCCACTCCCTGGGCTCCAGTGAGTACCCCCTACGAAGGCGCCAGTGTGAAGAGGTGGCCCGGGCGCTGGGCAAGGAGAGCCTTCGGGAGGTTCGGCTGGAGGAGCTCGAGGGTAAGAGTTGGACTCTGTCCTGGAGATGGCTGGGCTCCCTGCTGGGTCCTCTGTGTGACCTTGAGCCTGCTGCCTATTCCCTCCAGGGCATTCCCCATGCTCTCCCCACTTTCCCCCAAATATTACAAAAACTTAGGACTCCAATCCCAGCAGAGCTGCTTGAAATCTTTTTATTTTTGTGGTACTGGGGATCAAACCCTGGGCTTTATACATGCCAGGCAAGCACTCTTACCTCTGAGTTATACCTCCAGTCCTGCTTGAACTCCTCTAAGATTGTACTTTTATGGCCTCTTGAGGGTTGCACTATGTCCACTCATGTGTCCATGAGTTGGGGGTTCCTTTTCTTCTTTGGTACCAGGAATCGAACTTGGGACCTTGCACTTTTGAGGCAGGCAGCTGAACCACTGAGCTAAATCCCCGGCCTCAGTTGGGGTTTCTTACACTGATATTCATGGAGCACCGCTGTGCCAGCTCCCTGCGGGGAGTCCTGTACATTGTCCCCTGCAGTCCCTCCTGATCTCCGAGTGATGGAGTGATGCAGGTGTCCCATTTATAGGGGGAAGGGAGGATCCGGAGAGGAGGGAGTTCTTTAGAACCAGGCCTGAGGTCCTCCTGCCCCTCACAGGGCCCCCTTCACCAAGTAGTAGCTGTCCACTAACCCTGCCAGGGCCACTGCCCACACCCCCAGGCCCACAGGCAATGGCAGACAAGGGCTGTTGACCCCTGTTCCTCCCCAGCGGGCAGAGAACTGGTGAGCAAGGAGGGCTTCCAGCGGGCACGGCATGTGGTGGGTGAGATCCAGCGCACAGCCCAGGCAGCAGCTGCCCTGAGCCGAGGGGACTACAGAACCTTTGGTCGCCTCATGGTGGAGAGTCACCACTCACTCAGGTGAGGCCCTGGGGCGCCCTGCACCTCCCAGGCACAGGTGGGTCCCAAGTCCATCCTCCTGCGTCCTCTCTTCAGGGACGATTACGAGGTGAGCTGCCCTGAGCTGGACCAACTGGTTGAAGCTGCGCTGTCTGTCCCTGGGGTTTATGGCAGTCGCATGACAGGTGGTGGCTTTGGTGGCTGCACAGTGACCCTGCTGGAGGCCTCTGCTGCTGCCTGTGCCATGCAGCACATGCAGGTGGGTGGGCACCAGAGCCTGGGAGGGCAGGAGGTGCCGGGGCACTCTCTCCTACTTCGACTGTCCTTCCTGTCCGCCAGGAGCAGTACAGTGGGACCGCCACATTCTACCTCTCTCAGGCGGCAGATGGAGCCAAGGTGCTGTACTTGTGATGCCCTCGGGACGGCTCAGCTGGTGCAGCAGGGTATTCTGCTCTGCCTCTGGGTGCTCAATAAACTTGTGCCTCTGACCTGGAACCTGCCTTTCTCTAGAGGTGGGTGTGTGCTCAGGGGCAGAGAAGCGGATTGTCAGAATTGCCTTTCTACCCTGGGCTGGCACCTTGCAGAACGAACAGGACAAAGCCAGGCAGTAGCAAAATCTTTTATTAAGTGCAGAACAAATGCTGGGACCCTGTGCTGGTCCGAGCTCTTTGGTTACAAATGGGTCTGGGCTGGGGGCCAGGAGGGGAAGCCTGAAGAGTCTTCTGGGACCTTAGCCCCTTCATGCTTCTCAGAGAACACCTACCCCTGCTCCGTCGGCATGCACAGGACTGGACCCCGGGGTCTTTAGGGTGTTGCAGCTGAGAAGGCGGGCCAGGTTTCCAGACATTGCTGGGGTTGGGGGTCAGGTGTGGAAGAACTGTTGGTCCTGGGCACTGAGGGTTCCACTGGTGGTCAGCGTCCGGCTCACAAACTCCTGGGTCACGTGGCGGGTGAGGGAGCCCCCTACCTCCAGGTGCTGGGATCCCAGGGTCAGTCCATCTGCAGGGGAAGCAGTTGAGAGAATGCCCCCTGCGTCCCTACCCGTCTCTGGGCCCTCTGGAGCCAGGATCCCCCGCCCCTGTGACTCACCCACTAGGAAGGGCTCGGTGCTGCTGCTGTGGGTGGTGGTGATGCTGCTGTACTCGCCTTGCAGCGGGGGCTGGAAGAGCCCAGGATGGCCGCCCAGCTGTGGGAAGGGACCTGGAGCAGGCACGTTGGCCAGTCAGAGGATGAGAGAAGGCATGGCCAGAGACAGTGGGAGTGCCAAAGGGGGCACCCTACCTCCATCCTGGGACTCGATGGTGATGATGCCCTCTCGCTCTGGCCCGAAGCCCTCGGTGGTCCTGGCCTGCACCTTGAACTTGTAGGGCACATTCTCGCTGAGGCCGGGCACTGTCAGCCGGCTTTCCAGGCTGTCTCCATCCACTCGGAATGTGGTGGCCGGTCCTGCACAGGGAAGATGCCCTCAGCCCTGGTGTCTCCTCCAGCCCTCGCATGGCCCCCCCGTCCCCGGCGTTGCCAGTACCTCCTCCTTGAGCCAGCTCGCAGGTCACCAGGTAGCCCAGAATATCTCCATTGGGCCTCCGTGGCCGCTCCCAGCTCAGCTGCAGCGAGTCAGGGCTCAGGGCAGTGAACACCAGAGGGCCCGGGGCACTGGGGGTGCTCAGGGTGAAGGCAGAGCCTGGGGTGGCAGAGGAAGGATATCAGTGTGGGGTGCTCGGTGGGCATGGGGGTGCCACTGTGGGGGACCTGCTCACCTGGCAGAGGGCAGAGTGGGCTCTGCGGGTGCACCTGTGACTCGATGGTGATGACACCCTCGCGCTCCCGGCCCCAGCCCTCCTGGCTCTGGGCCCGCACTCGGAACACGTATGAGTGGTTGGGCAGGAGGTCTTCTACCACCACCGAAGTCTGGCCAGGGTTGGGGATGTTGAGCCGATGCAGCTCACCTGGGAGGCGAGGTGAGGGCAGACAGTAGAGTAGCTTCCCCACCCCCCTTCCTGTGTGTGCCCACGGATAATGCTACTTCCCAGTTCCTAAGAGGCCACCCAGGCCAGCCCTGGGTCTGTGAGGCTTTATTAGACAAAACCTAATGGAATAACGAGAAGCCCAGAGATGGATGAGGCTCAGAAGAGAGGAGATAAGAGCCGGGAATGGCGGTGCAGGTGCACGCCTGTAATCCCAGTGCTCAGGAGGCTGAGGCAGGAGGATTGCTTTGGGGTCAAAGCCAGCCTGGACTACATAGCAAGACCCTGTCTCAAAAAACCAAATAAAAATGAAGGACAATGAAGGGGGTGACATGGTGGGAGAAGTCTCTCAGAGTGGTTGGGTGGGGCCTCTCATGCTTAAGGGACCCGGGTGGTTTCCTGACTCAGCTGTGGAGCCTGTGTGTCTGCATGGGGGCACCCCTGCAGCAAGCAGCAGCCGAGCCTTACCGCCATTCAGCAGCTGGTACTCCACACTGTAGCCCAGCAGCACACGGTCACACTGTGGCTCCTGCCAGCTCACTTTCAGAGACGTGGGCCCCAGGGCTGAGAACACCAAGCGGGTGGGAGTGTCTGGCACACCCACAGCCATGCGGGAGTCTGGAGATGGGAGGCTGCAGTCAGTCTGAGAGGCAGGCGCTGGGGTCTCTGGGGGCAGTCAGCTGTACCCCAGCCTCCCCTGCTCAGCTGGCTGGTCTATGTACAGGGAGTGCTGGCCCGGCTGCTCTCACTCTAACACTCTGTGCAGGCTGCCCAGCACTACCCACACGTCCTTGGAGCAGGGGCAGGCCTGGCTTGGCCGAGAGGGTGAGCCCCGAGGGCCTGCCAACCCAGGCCCCCAGCCCTTCTGCTGGCTGGCTCTCTCCTTGGCCCTGCCCAGCCCCACACCCCGGCAGGGCAGAGGCTGTGTTAGGCATCAGCGCTGATGAGGGTGGGCAGTGGTTAGCTCCTGGGGACGAGCAGGACGCCTGTGAGTGGAGTGGGGCTGAGGCGGTGGCCGGGCTGGCTGTGATGGGTGGCCAGGTGACATGGAGCATGATGGAGGAGAGCGTGGGGACACCTGATGGCCACCCCTGTACTACCTGGGCCCCAGGAGGGCGCTGCTGACTGCCCAGCCAGGATTATGGAGTCTGGAGAGCCCCTGGAGGGGGGCAGCCCCTTCCTCTGAGCCCGACTCCAGGACCCCAGGGCCCAGGACAGCGGAAGCCTGCTCCTCCCGTCTTCCCAGATGGGAGGGAGGCCTAGGGCAGGACAAAAGAAGGGTGAGCGGGGCGGGGAGGTCATGTGTGCCCGTGTATGCTGGAGATGGGGAGTGGGAGTGGGAGTGGGAGTGGTGGGCCAGGAGCTGGGGGGAGGAAGGTGGGTGGCAGAGGTGAGCTTGCGGAGGCCACTCACCCTGGGAGGACAGGGACGTGAGCGTGGAGTAGTCCCGGGGCAGCGTGCCGGAGTGGGAGCGCTCCGTGCGGGTCAGTGAGTGGTAGTCCCGTGTGAGGGTGGAGGACGTGCTCAGCATGTGGTGGGACAGACGTGGGCTCAGGTGGGTGCCGTAGGCAGCACCGGCCGCCGCTGTCATCCTGTGCAGGGAGTTGGCGCTGCCTGGGAAGGCAAAGTCCATCCGGCCGTTCACCAGGTGCTCTGTGGGGGAAAAAATCAGTCAGGGAGGCCTGCGTTAGACGGCACCTTACGGCTGGGGGACCCCATGGCTCCCTGGCTTCTCAGGAGCCTCGGAGGAAATACAGCTAGGCTCCCTTCCACTGCCAGGCTGGAGGCCATGTCCTCTGGCACCATTCCTATGGGAGAGTCAAACACAGCAGGCTCCAGCTGGGGGGCTCACTCTCCTGCATCAGCCCAGTCTTGGGGGGGGAAGCCCAGAGCCTCCCCTCGAGTCCCCTGAGGGTCCATCTGGGTACCAGAGTCCTCCCCCTGGACACAGCAGGTTGCTCTGGGGTGCCCCCCGTACTGGGGCTCAAAGCCAGGAGTGCTCTGAGTTATATCCCCCACCACACCCTTTCTTTTTGAGACAAAGTCTTGCTTAAGTAGCTCAGGCAGGATTCAAACTTGAGGGTCTCCTGCCTCAGCCTCCCTTAGTACCGGGACTAGCCGCACCACTACACTCGGCAGGCTGCTGAAGTTGTATGCCCCCAGCTAGCCAGACGCCGCCTTGGGGGCCACTGCCCTGTGCTGCCTCGGCGAGACCCTGGGGTCTCCTGATGCCTAGCTGGCCAGGGTACCCTGATGAGCAGCCAGCCCAAGCTGGAGCACCGGGTGCAGCGGGTGAGCCTCGGGCGGGCAGTCACCTCCAGGGGGCCGGGGTGTCGCCCCGCGAGCCCGGCCGCCACCCTCCCCATCCGTGACCCCCGCGGCTGTGCCGCCGTCCTCGTCTGAGCGCCCGCTGGAGCGCCCGCTGCTGGCCGACAGGCGCGGGATGAGCTCCGGGGGCAGCCGCCACGTGACGCGCCGCAGGTCCAACTCCTCCCCCAGCAGGGGCTCGAACTTCCAGCTGCCGCCTTGGGAACAACGAAGGGCCGCGTTGGCGGCGCTGCGACGGAGCCCGTCCTCCTGGCTCTCTGGTGACTCGAGCCCCAGCGACCGGAGAGACCCTCACCCACTCACTCGTGCCCTTGCGGATAAGCAAGGGGAGCTGGGGCCGCAGCTGGGGCCACGGCCCGGGGTGGGGGAAAGGCCCGGCACCAGCCAGAGGTTTCTTTTGTTACCTAACCGCTCTCAGCTTTGTGCGAGTTCAGCAGAGTAACCAAGTCCCTGGCTCCCTCAAGCCCCAGAGTGCCAGTAGCAACTGAGCTGGGGCTCCTGGCCCTTAAGAGCCTCAGACACACAGACACTTGTGAGGACAAGTGTGTGCTCAGCAGGGAACGCCCCGACATACAGGCAAGTAAGGGCAAAAGTACAAACGATGAACACGCTCTGGAGGATTTTCCACTCGGGGCATCCCGTGACTGGCATCACGTCTTACGGGTTAGAAAACTGAAGCACAGAGAAAGTAACTGATTCACACAGTGTGCCACAGTGGAGCCAGTAATAAGCCTGTGCTCGGGAGTCCCAGCTTGGGCATATTGTTGGGGAATCAAGGAGGGAGGAGCACAGAGGACGGACATCACCACCTCAGCTGTACCTCCCTCTTGAGGGTCTCGGGCTTGGCCAGCAGGGTAAGTGGCCTGAGTGTCTTGACTCCAAGGCACAGCTGGGCAACTTTAAGATCCCATGTTTGCCAGCCCATGTGTGCATCCACCTCCAGGCAGATGTCTCTCTCCTCACACATGGATTGTACAATTGCCTGTGGACCACTGCGGGTTTGTCCCTTCTGCACTCCCATGTTTGAGGCTGGGGGGTGACTTCTTGCCTTGGAGTTCCATGTCCAGCATTTGCCAGCCCCTGTGCTCCTGGGACACCAGGGACAGTCCTGTGTGCCCAGCACCTGCACCCTCCTCTCATGGAGCCCACTCACCAGTGTCATCTGAGACGCTGGGCCTCTGGCTGCCGGCAGGGGAGCGCAGAACATCGTCGCTGTACATGAGGAAGCTTTCGTAGTCCTCCCCAC